AACATAAAATAAAATTATTGATACTATTTTCGAATGCCGTGTTATTGTAAAATCGTATCTAAGAAAATGGTATCAAGGGCGGTCTAAATGTAACATGTCTACACTTAAAGATGAAGACGAAAATGTATACAAGTTAAATATAGATAAACGAGTAAAAAATACAAATTTCTTATTTTAACTAGAGAGTTTAAAACCTATCGTTATTATCACTTGTACTATATACGAGTTAATAAATAATAATCACTAAATTTATCAACAACAATGGAAGTATATCAAGTTCAATAACATCGTTAAGATAAAAAATTAAGAAAAATATATATTTGTTTGTTCTCTATTTTATGTAAAGAAGATCTAGTTACGCCATAAGAGCAAACAACTAAGTGCTTGTCAATAACAATTAACATATCTAACACTAAGTTTAAACGAGTCAATCAAAGTATACAAAACTTCCGTTGATTTTTATATTAGCACCATTAATATTCAAAACTAAAGCTCATTTTTTCCCCTTTACGATAGCTAATACACATTGATACGACCGTTTCGTAAATTATTTTTTTTTCTTCTAAAACCATTCTTCGTATTGGCTACCCATGGTTCATCTCATTAAATCTGCTGCTCTCTGTCTGTCTCTATGCACTTCTCGTGGATGCATTCTTTTGCGATGCGAAAAACAATTTCCAGAACTCGCGAAAGCTTTTGGACAATATGGACATTGATAAGGCCTTGCACCTGTATGTTGATTTATGTGAAACTTTAAATCTTGATTTCTCTTAAAAGTTTTATCACAAAGAGGACATGCGTGTGGCCTCAAGTCTGAATGCGTTATACTATGAGCTCGTAACGTGGAATTTGTTGGATAAACTCTTCCACACACGTTGCATGGAAATTGTATTCCACCGTGATATTCTTTGTGTCTGAATAAATTCGACTGTGTCTTAAAGCTGAAATAAAATTTATAATTTTATTAATTCTTATTTTTTTAAACGTTTAATTGAAATTAATGTAATGGAACTAACATTCTACCACATATGTCACAACCATATTTCCCCTTAGGCCGATGAGTTTCCAAATGTACTTTTAGATTTCCCTTAGTAGAAATTTTTTTACTACAAATTGGACAGATAAAGTTGCCAGACGAATTGTTGTCAGTGTTCATATGAAGCACCCCATTAGTAGAATAAACTTGTTGAGATCTTAAAATAGGCTTCCCGTCAAGTCGTTTATCTTTAGGCAAATGAGACCATAAATGATTTTGTAGACCAATTTGAGATATAAAAGATCGTGCACATATCGTACATTCATGAGGTTTTGTTGATGCATTAGAAATTTGTTCTTCTGTTTCTTCTTGTAGTCTGTCGCTATTCTCTTCCTTCTTCTCCTTCTTTATTTCATTAGATCTACAGAAAATACATGTAACTTAATAAATGTATAATCTTGTTAAAAAATTATAAAATTTTACCTAAATGCTCTTACTTATTTGTCAATGGTAATGGTTCTGGAGAGTGTATTCTTGTTATTTTTTCTTCTGTATCAGATGCTTCTGAAGTTTCTGATGCTGAGTTGTCCATACCATATTGTAAAAATAACATTGGGTCTACCTTAACTTCCATTTCTTCCATACTTGGAGTATGACATTTATCTTCTTGTGAGATTAAGTCTGGTGGTCCCAGTGGTTCACCTTCAGCCAAAATTTCTATTGCTCCCTACAAAATAATTTATTTTTATTATATTTGTATAATACAATTTAAAATATGTAATGATTATAATTTACTTTTGTTAATATTGTATGTAACAGTCCCCTATCTTCTATCTTCTTTGTTGTGTCTTGTATATCTTTAACACTTTCCACTTCTACATCCTGTGTAGCATTTGTATTGCCAGTACTATTATATAATTGTGATTTTAATTTTTCTTGTGTCCTATATGCCATCATAGCAAAGCGATGAATGCTTTCTAATCTTTTGATGCATGTAGCACACACCATCTTTGATAACTTATCTTCTGAGGATACCTGTAACACAATATTACATTTATAGTATTGACCATAGTAATAAGAATAAAGTATAGATCAAAATTTAATGTGAAAGAAATAATCAACTGAAAATTAATGAAAGCTTAAAGAATGCATAGCACCATGATAAAAAAATTCAATACTTAATATTTAATTATTCTTTATGCGTATAATTAAAAATTAAAAATGGGTTGTGAAAAAAAAAATTAAATACAAAAAAATCGTTCCGGAAAAAAATGTATAAAAAAGTAATTGCAAATAATTTATAAAATTCAGATTATATTTCATTTGTTAATTAAACTTAATTGTCTATCATACATCATTAATGTTTTGTTTCGAATAAAAAATTAACTTTAATGTGGCATTAATAAATAAAACTTTTTCATTCTAATTGTAAAATTTTTATTTAATAATCATATCGTATTAAATATTTCATTTGTAACTTATTAAAAAAAAAAAAGCTGCGCATTATTTATGAGTTATCGTGTACATCGAATTATATTTATAGATGCGCCAGTTATATAGCGCATATAGTATACTTATTGTAATCAATAAAATGCTAATTTTTAACACTTCTGTATTCCCATCAAAATGGATCCTTCCATGTTATTATGTACAAATGCTTAACAATTCCGATTTAAATACACGCACATAAGATTTAATTACTTTAATTTACACATTAATTTACATTAATATGTAAAACGTAACATATATTTCACTCGAACTATCTTTTCTTGAGCATCGACGATTTGACGATAGAAATTTTCTTACAAATGAAAAATTTTCATTAATAAATTAAGATTAATGAACCATTTGCACATAAATTACATAAATTGCATGCGTGATTTCTAACATTCAATTTACACAGAAAGATGTAATATTTCGAATTTGCATCGGCGCATGGATTTCTATAAAATTTCAAAATTCTCTAGGAATACCCGATTTTCGGGGGTAAATGCACGTGTATTCCTTCACATATATAGAGAACGGGGTACAGGAGGGGTTGAGCGCGAAACATCGGTAACGGGGTACCAAGTGGAGATTTCGAAAAAAAATCCACATACGTCAGTCTAATATGTGCATACATGTAGGCGCGCATACAACGGCGATCGCGCTAATTCACATGGAGCGCAGCTAGACTTACCAAGATGTACAGATATTTTCGTATTTTGGTCTGCAGGTAGTGCCGTCTACCATCCTCGGCGAAAATGTGTACCCCGTCGTTTCTTGGTATGTCACTAGCACAAATTCGGCATTGGAGCTACCCATTTCAAAAAGAAAGAAAAAAAAAAATTCGACAAGGTATCACTACGCTAACGAGATGTTTATTTTTTTCACTATTTATATGTACAAACACGTTTTAAAAATGATTTATGTTAAATGATTTTCACGCGACCCCCTTTCACAACGTTAAATTCATTGCTTATTGTTATTTTCCCTCCCTTTCGTTATCTTAGCACCTTGACGAAAAACGTCGAAAACGTCCGATATAAAACTTTCAGCAATGCATCTTTACGACGTGTCAGCGTGTCTGAGAGGGTTGATTATTCTAACGATTTTTTTTTACTTATGAGTCTCCCGGATTGGGTGAGATTACTCCGGCACAACGTTGACGCTTTAAAAACGACGTCGGCGCCGGGCGTCGGCGTCTCTCCCGAAACGAGTGCTCAATACAAAATATATAATAGCATTCGTCGATTTGAAAAACATATGTATATAACCAATTGTTTTATTTATGGATTCCGGTCGTATTAAATGATATTACTATTAGCAAATTATAATGAGCCTATTTATATCATTCTCTTATGATTTACGTGTGAATTAAGGATTTCACGCGAAATGCATGAATTTGTATTTCTAAAATACTACCCCTTGCCAGAAATAAAGAATAAAATGTATCAGCGCGGTAGTCTTAATTGGTCCGCCATGTTCTTTCACCCGTTCGTTTGTGTTTTTTATTTTCTTCGTAAATGATTCGACCTTGTTGTCTTATACCCTGCGTTTTAATAGAATGAGATGCTTATCTGGTTTGAAATAGATCTCGATCGATATATTTCTTGGAAGTGACTCCACATCGGCGAATTTAATTACAATTTTTCCAAACTTTCCCGCCATTTTTCCCACTCTGTATTACTACGCCAGTGGAGGGAGTAACGAATGTAGACGTTTTTGTTGCTGCGGAAAATAGTTCCAGGTACTTGCGAACGAACAGCCTCCCCCTTGGATATGCTACGTCCCCATTTAAAAAAATCAATACTTAATAATTAGCAATTAATACACTCTTCAAGTATATGCAACTGCTATCTTGTCCTCTACAGTTTTTAATGTACGTATGCGTTTTGTTGCTATTTAGTGCTTGATTTTACGTGTATTATTAACATCTGATTTACATATTTTTTCTACGAAATTGCTGCAAAATATTATAAAATTTGTTTAATTCTGTGTTTCATCACACATTAGGAAATAATTGTTTTTTAATTAACGTAGCGACGTTTAAAATCCGTTTAATTTCTAGAAAATTGAACTCTTAAGATTAATAAATAATCTAGTATTTTGAAAATAAATAACGATTGTTAACAATTTATGTGGTTTGTATTAATTTAGTAACGTAAATTTTATAATATGTAAAAAATACACATGAATAGTTAATTAATTTATACTTTTTATTGAGTGAAAAGTACAACCAAAGTAATTAACTAAATATAGATTTTGTACAAACTTAAAGAGAACTATTTTTTATACATATTGTCTTGTAATTTAAAAAATATATATATTCCTGACATAATTTGTACCATAAACGTTTAAAAGAATTTAATAAAATGTTTTTAATGAAACATATGGTAATGTAATATTATTCTTACAATATTGTCAATCATCATCATCATGTAACATAAAATAATTTGTCAATATACTAAATATATATTTATTGAATAAATATCAACTGTAAATGAAAATTACAAAATTGATTAATTTATAAATATTTGCTGTTTATTCTTGTGTTTTCTTAAACATTTTATGGGGTGTTATGAAATTAGAACTAACTTAACATTTTGCCTTATTCTGAATTGGCAAGAATAACTTAAATTCAGCTGGTAATTCATCTTCTGAATAAAGTCTATCAGAAAAGTATACTCTTCTTATTCTACAGTTTGCATGAATTTGAACCCTTAATGTTTCCACATAATTTGTCCCATATGCACGTCTGGTGAAATCAGCTAAATTGAATTGAATCTGATTCCATCCATCGTCCAATCTCATTGGCATTGTACAAATAAAAGGTTTTACTCTAGTTGTAGATTGATAATTACTAGCACGAAATCTACGGCGTACATTCTTGTCATCAATTACCTAAATGTAATATGTAGGATCATTCACTGCTCAGTAATATATTTGGCTAGAATTAACTGATTAAATGTTTACTTACCTGAACTTCAAATGTGAAATATTTTTTTAAGTTCTTGATTATCATCACTAGAAATGGCAACTTTATGCCTAAAGTTTTTCTGGGGTCAGCCGGACAAGTGATATATGTGGTACTGACATTACTGCCCAATATTTCCAATACTAAACTTTGTATATCATTATCTGTAATTCGTTTTATGTGTCCATTTCTTACTTTTTTATCCCAAATTTGTAATGGCTTGCTACCAATGCTATACAAAATTGATAAAAATCCACTTTGAAAAGTGTTCTTAAACATGTTCACTTGTTTTTTTCGTCTTCGTCAATTTTTGTAAAACAAATTCTCTTCAATTACTTTCTTTGCACTAGGAGTATTCAAGAAATTTTATAGTTTCGTTTATAGTCACAACTTAACCTTGTTTCATTGTTTAACTTGAGGTTCACTAAAAAGTGACATGTTTTAGGTAATTTTATTTTTGAAGCAGTAAATGCCGCACCATTGCACATAACATCATTCGATGAACAAAAGCATTGTTAGTTTAAACCGGCATATTCTTTGAAAAATTTGATTTGCTAAATAACTTTAGTGATGAACATAACCTATAATATTTGTGTTTGATCAATGTTGCCGTTAGATTTACAGCGACGTAAAAAATCTCGATCGATTATCTCATCCTTATCGATTGAGTAATTCAGTATCGAAAATTTAAACGTTCATAATTATTCGAGAAATTAAACTTAGAACGCATAAAATAAAAATAATGCAATTTTAACGTTTTTACAATCGTTTATTGATGTCAAATACAAACCGATAAAGTTTAAATAAGCAGTAGATATCTACGTATTAAACAATTATTTCTTTTAAAACGGAGTTAACGATTTTTCGGCATAAAAAACTTTATCAGTGTAAAATCTTTACTGCCATAATCTATTTCTTAATTTTGTCCATAAGATTGTTCTTTTTTTGATCGACATATTATTGAAAATCACATTTTACAACTATACTCTCTTCAGGAATGAATAAGAGAAACAAAGTGTCTAACTTATTTTAAGCGCAACTTCCATTTTCTATGCTGTAACGTTAAAAACAATAATCGCATAGCATGATCTTTTTTTTCTTGCTTCGTTATTAAAAAAGAATGTTCTCATTATTCTTTTAACATAAACGCATTACAGCATCATAAGACTAAATTAACGTGGAGTTATTTTTTTTTTAACAAAAACTTTTGGATGATTTAGTCGTATTTTTATTTGCTTTCGATGAAATTATTTCTTTAACTATCGGTGCACGGTTCAGATAAACTTAACATTCTAATTATTCAAACACAAATATTAAATTTCTTCAATTGTTAGACATGTTATCAATTTAAAATTTTGTGCATTTATTTATCAATAAATTGACAAAAAGAAACAACAAGAAGCACGTATGTTGCTAAGATTTTAATAAATTACAATTCAATAATAACCAGGTATTATAGATTCGAGTATCAATAGTACAACTGTCCGATAGTTACAGATTTAAAAAGGAAAGCATTATTTGTAAAATAAATGTTTAGAATGTGATCTTTTTATTCTAATGCATCCGCGTTATCTCATGGAATCACATTTATCTTCGTATTCCGCAGAGATACTTCCACTTCATACATCTTAGTAGTTAATACTTTATTCACTTATTGTTACGACTAACTATTGTATTACAGTTTACGCGGATAAAACAGGTCCTGCAACGGGGGTACACTTTCGTAGGATTCATGTTTTTCTCTCTTTTTCCCTCTCTCTTTTCTTTTTTTTTCTTTTTTTTTTATTGAAAAAACTATGCGAAAGAGGTTGTCACTAGTCTTTTCCTTTGTTTCTTTTCATTTGGAACAGTGAATCCCACGTGAGGAAGGAAGGCCCACCTATGAAGCGATATCTCAGAAAAAGGAACATTCATTAACTCGTCCTCGAGTGACCTATAAATTATTCGGAAGGTATCGCGTTACGAAAGGTTATCTGAAAGAAAAAAGTATTGTAAATGATATAAGCAATCCTTCTTTTCTTCTATCTCCGTGATACGGAGCGTATTACATTATCGTGAAAAAGTAATCAATTACGTTACTCAAATTTAACAATCATTTGCATATGTTTTTTTTTTCTCTTTTCTTTTTTAAGGTTCATTAACATTCAAGAAACCTGTTAAATGATGCAATAAGAATAATGAATATAAGATAAGTCTTTATGCCAGAAGCATGGTATTACAATCTTCTTTTTTGTTCTTATATGGATAGAACGAAGTCCATTTCTCGACATTATCTTCATTCATTATTAGAGACTCTTTTTTTTTTCATCACCTTAGTATCGTTATAAACTTTTGGCAATAAGACAAAATTCGACGACGTTGTTTCTAAAGTGTTATCTCATTGTCTTCTTGATTACAATCAAATCAAAACGTATTTCCTTAATAATCATTACGCAACGGGACAAATTTTGAATTATTACCATCGTAGTTACAATTTCCAATACATCCGGATCATGCTTACTGGACCACTGGATGTATGAAAATCTGAATGTCCTTTACTTCTCAATACCTTGTAAAACACGAATGCAACCCCAGAGTGCTTCTAGGCCCCATAGAAAAGCAAATTGGGGCAATAATATGAATATATCACATTATCTTTCTTCAACTTTACAAATTTGAAAACGGAAACTCGTAGAATAACCGAGCACGTTTAAAGAGTCCCCAACCAATTTCTAAATTTTGTATTTTTTTTTCTTTTGGGTTACTTATCTGTTTTTAATTTTGTAAAATAGTATAGTGTATTCAACTTAAAAAAGCGATAAGAGTCATAAGCGTTAATTTAATTGCATGAATGTTATAGCCATTAAAAATTGATCACTCAGTTGGAGACACTTAATACACGTAACTCCTTAGAATTTCTAGTCGAATTTTGTTTTTGAAGAAATGCGCTTGTTTCGTATCTATTGTTATATACAGTTTCAAAATAATCATTATTAAGAAGGATACCGCTTTGCTCAACAAAACGGTGAACAATTTGTTTGTATGAAGTAAGATGACTTCGTTCAAAATTACTTTGAAATTTATGATAAAACGAAGATCCATGAAGTAAGCATTAATTCACTGATTTATACGCGCTCGTATTAGGTAATAAGACATAACAGACATTTTTATTCGCGGAGAATGAGAAAGCCAAGGATTAAATAGAGAAATTAAGAGATGGCCGCATTTTATCTCAGATTTCAATATTTTTTTCACTTAACATTCCTATAATGTTTTCTCATGATCATAAACCATGACTCTCTGGAAAATGACCATTTCAGTTACGATGTCTAAACAATTTGTTTCATTGATTGTGGTCCTATCAATGAAATTGTTATAATAAATATAATAGAATCGTCGACCACTGTTAGGATCACAATCTTGATCAAGCACCAATAATACCTCTTATCTCAAGACGCTACTATACCTTTTAAGCGTAGAAAAACGAGTTAAATTATATACTCAAATCATATAAGCAAGTTCTACGCTTTGTACCATACTTGTAGTCGTCGCAGAAATCTATTAAAGGCTGCTGCGATCGATCGGTTCTTAGAGGAAAGAAAAGGCATTTCTGTTACATTAGTGGTTCATCATTTATTGGTGCTTGAGCTATTTCTTCATGCGATTAAGGCACTGCAAAAGATTGATCCTTCATAAAAAGCTATTGATCTTCAAAATCCGCGATCCGTTAAGTTAAAGAAGCAATGGCGTAATGTATGAAGATCGAGAGTCATCGGTGATTGAATGTTTGAAGTTACCGTGTAATAAGGCCCAGAGAGATAGATTGAGAAGAGTCATTTTCCCTCCGATTAGTTCATTCAACAACTGTAATATATGTAAATACATTAATAAAAGTAGAATATATAATTAATACTACATAAAAAAATAATTTAAGAAGAATACATAAAAGCAACATACATACTAATAAAAGTAAAAACTAGTAATCCTGATAAATAACGAGAAAAATATTAGAAACACATAATGACGGAACAGTACACTAAAACTTTGTGTCTGTTTATCCAATAAATTAAGGAAAATTCAATCAAATCATTAATTTCAAAACATTTTTTTCATAGCGTTCGAAAAGATTCAATATTAAGGTTTATTATTAATATTACTATTAATACTAAACCTGCAAGGACATTTTTTTCAAACATATCTTATTCTCATCAATGACTTTATGAAATGTGTTTAAATTAATTTTCCTTTGCAATGCCTTAAAAGGGCAATTGTAAATTAAACTTATAGAGTACGTCTTAAATACTATTTAATTACTTATCAATAGCTCCATCCATTATGTTGTTTTTAACTTGAATGCTAATGTGTATTCCGTCTCTAGACGCACCTTTATCTTTTTTTGTTTGTGAGTTGGATGCATTATCAAGACCCAGCTTACTTAAAGTACGTAGAGCTTTCAATGCTGCTTGGTTACGGCTCGCTGTTCTCGTCGGTCCATTGCCATGACAAACTTGTGGTGGATCTGTACTTAATGTTACAAGCGATAGATATTCTTTATTTACTGCTCCCTGAAAACAACATACAAAATAAGCAAGCTTTTATTAATTTAACTATTCTACATTGATTCATCCTTCCATTTAGAATTACTACTCCTGATATAGACTTCGATATTACGAACAATTACGTGTTATCTATTAAAGTACAAAATAAAATTTTTATGACTGTGTCTACCTTAGGAAAATCATTGAATTCCACACTGAAATTAAATAGCTGAGAGAGATATTTCAATTGATCTTTGGGAGAAACAGTGGCTGGGTTTTGTTGCTGTTGTCCTCGTAGTTCTTCAGCAACAATTTGTACACTAGGTCCGCTACCTAATTTAGATTCCTGTCCTCCGTCCACTAATAAAAGTCCAGGTACTAACTGACGTCCAATAGTTCCTGATTAAAGTTAATAAATTTTCAAAATACCCATATATAACAAATAACATGTATACCAGGGTCTTTAAATTTTCTCATTCATAATTCGTGTTGAATGAATATCATACAAATATTTATTAGTTTCTATATCATGCATATGTAAATGTTACTACATATCATTTTATGTCTCACCTCCAACTGGTGCATGAGATTGAGTTTCATTAATCTGTTCATCTTCCAAGAAAGTGACTTTCCTAGGCTTTTGTTCAGTATTTTCACTTTCTCCCGTTTTAATCGATGGCTTCGTAGGTTGTGGTTGGGGCTTACTGTAACCTAGTTGCGCTAAAAGGGCTTCTGCTGCAGCTCTTTTAGCTATCTTTTTATTAGAACCCATTCCTTGAGCAGAATGTTGTCCCATAGTAACCTCCATAACGAATTCTCTTCGTCTTGGTACACCCTTTTCTTCGATCAAGGTATAAGTCGGGTCTTTCTCTCGTTTAGCTTGCTGTATTTGAATCAGTCGTGAAACTGGGTTAAGTTCGTCCGCAGCGTCAGATCCAGATCGTGGTTCTTGATAAACTTTTATAAGGTTCCGTGACTTCTTCTTCGTTGCTGGTGGTTTGCGTTTCACACGCCCCAAACGACTATGAATAGTTTCGGGCAATGGAGGCAGACGATTGAGTTCTTCTAACATGTATTCCGCTGCGTGTCTTTTCGATACCTGCATGTTACGTCGTAAAATATATCATGTGCAAAGATATTTTTTATTTTTATATAAAGAATTGTGTACGAAACATTTTATATTTTGTATGAAAAACTTACTTTTTTCGAAGGTCCTTCTCCTAGTGTAAATTTATCTCCAACAGTGCATTTTGTACCGAATGTTCGAATATGAGGCTTACCAAATTCCGATACAACTTCAAAACTAACAGGTAAGCCACGTTTTAATGCTTTTTCGTAAACTAATGACACAGGACTCTTTAATTCGGCAATCGGATCTTTAGTTTCAGTTAATGTACCGTTTTCACCGGTGTGACAATTAGTTGCTACTTGTTCTGGTAATGGCAATTGGCGCAATTCTTCTAAAGCTTCCCTGGCTGCATCATGCCGTGCTGCTTGTCCTGTTAAACCTCTACCAATAAATTCACGTTTTCCTACCTATAAATTAATGCATTTAATATAAGTTAGAAGCATTTGTATTAAAGGTACAATTACAATTACTACTTTCTCACCTTCAAAGATACGAGATACCACGGAGGTTCCGTGTGGAAACCACGACCATACGTAGGATAACGTGGATATTTGAATACTGGAGGGATCTGTAGTAAACCATTAAAATATCGCTGTATTTCTGGTGGTGGAGCTTGTCTAAAAGTATAGACAGTAGCTTCACCTCTCTTCATAGCCAAAGCATTTAATTCAACAGTTGGTGGCAGATTACCTGTAATAAATAATATAATTTTTAAATTCAGACAAATTTATAATTTTATAATTTATAAGAAGAAAGTAATACGCAATTACCAGGACCACTGAAACATTTTCCCAGATGCCCAACTCTCATTGCCTTTGTAGGTTTCGGTGGAGGCCGTCGATACCAGGTCTTTGTCAATGCTTCATTTGCAGCGCTATGCTGAGCTTTTTTTATGGCCGGACCTTCAGCAACATATTCCTCATCTCCGAGCTTCAGTGTTACCGTAAATCGTTTTTTGTGCGCTGGTCCTTGTTCATTAGTCAACCTATATTGGTGCTGAATCTTATTAAAACGTGCTAACTCATTCAATAAGCACATTGGTGTTTTTTCTTTCATGTTTGCCAAAGCTGAATTAGTCACGTTAACGTGATTTTGAGTAGGTGGACTTTGATCTCTGGACTCTCCACTATTTGTCTCATTAGTGGTTTGTTTATTTGGTTCTATACTTTGTGGTTGTTGGATGTGTTGCTGCGGAGGAGGATTTTGTTGTTGTGGATACTGTGGTTGTTGTACATTTGGATTTTGTAGAGTCACAGAGACAGTATTTGCTTGATCTTTTAGACTGACACTAACCATGGTGCCTAAAGGAAAAGTAAATTCAATTAATATTCGAATTATAAGAGTAATGTACTGTTATATAAAAGTAAATTCCAATTTATCCAACATTACCATTTGTATTATGTGCATTCATGCCCATCAACATTGGTTGTCTTGGATTTCCATGTGGTGGTCCAGGGGGATGTTGCATATGATGAATATGTTGTTGATGGGGGGGCATGGACAGTATTTGTTGATGTGGATTCCGATGCGGTAACGGATGCTGAGGCTGATGTAAAGGGGCCATATTTGCCTGCTGCATGGGACGCATCGGACCACCCATTCTAATAAAACATTAAGTGAAATGAAAATTACTTAATTACTTACATATTATGTACTTCTGTGCACACAACAAAAAAATAAGTTTACATGTATAAATAAAATTAACACAAACCTGTTGTGATCTCGAAGTTGATTTTGCATTGTGTGATGTTGATGACCTAACATCATGTAAAAAAATATGCAAAACCTGAAATTAACAGACAATTCTGGATAGAAAATTACACACAAAATTTATTTAAAATGACAAAACTTTAAACATCATTTAATCTGAGATAGTCCACTTACAATGAAATCGTTTTTTTATATAAATGTCATTATGAGAAAATATAAAGATGCGCAAGTTTTTTCAACAAAATAGTACCTGTTATTTAATATAAGCTAATATATTACGCAAAATGACTTCATAGCTTCAAAAACAATAACTAAGTCAGGTATGCATTTGACAGTACTGGTAAATGTAAATCAGGTTGTCCATATTATGAATCGAACATGAAAAGTTTATTCGTAACAGATGTATGTAACAATGTTAATCGTGGGAAAAGAATTTCATTTCCCTAAATGAACTAGTCAATAGACAATGGGCTTGGCCCGGCTATTTGGCAGCGGAACTATGCGGTTGAATTTTCTTACCGAAGTTTGTTCTATTTCACGAAAATTTTCAAAGTATTCAGCAGCGAAATTTCCGGCGAAACAGATCTGCCACTTTAGAGAACACTGCCAGGCCCTTTATGCGGCTATTGGCAAACAGTAAAGAAAAATCGTCTGTAGACTAAAATGCGGCCATTTTGATGTGGGCCTCTCGGACACCGTCTCTCAACCCCTTCCAAAGGACATCCTACTTGCCGATTTTTTTAAAAGTCTGCAATATCGATTACAATTATCGATACCTCTCGTTTCTTGAAATTACGAGTTATTATAACAATAATCTTCTGTTTTATTTTTAAATGTAGTTTAAGAGCCACACCAACAAAAAGGTATTTTGTTCGATACGTTATTCAAATTATTAATATTTTTTACTCCGGTGAAATATTCTAAATACAATAGGATAACGTTGTAGTCCTAGACATTCAAATTTTAAAATCAACGTAACGGATATAATCAATAATTATTACTATTTTGTATTGTTATTTGAAATTCAATTAGTGAAATTCGATAAATTTGCGAATATAGAATTAAATTAAAGCAGAACTTGAGAAAAAAATACATAAAATAAAAGTTGACAGTAAAGTCAATTTCATATGTCAGTTAATTTCATGAAAAACGCAGCATAATGAAATACTTCAAATGAATGCTTGATAAATAAGTATTAATAATTTTTACGTTTTACATATTTTATGCTGTAAGCATAATTCATTTTATTATTAATAATAATAAGTGATTATTCATTTTGACATGTTAAGATATGTTTTGATGTCTTATTGAAAAGAATTAGACAAAAACTCATATTTATGCATAGATTCCCCGTTGACTACACAATAGATTTTTCTTTTGTAATAATACTATAAAAGAACTTATGTAATCGTTCAATATATAAAATAAAATTGTGTAGGTATATAGATTAGTTAACCAAGAAGCACAAGAGAAAATTTGATTGATATTCTTGTGTAAATGTTATCAGTATTATCATGGTGTATGAACTGTCATTTCTTATATTCCTTGCATTTATAGAACCTTGTTTCATTCGTATTTGTTAATCGTATTACAGTAGTTCGAGAATTAAGTTTAAAACAATACTAGTATGAAGTATTAAAGATAACCTACATTCGATATTGATTATTTTTTTGTTTCAATTATTTAAATACGTTAAAATGAATTCATATTTTCAATAGAACTATTCGATTCGAATTTGTTTAATATTTAATCAAGAAAAAAACATTGCCGTATAAAAATGTTAATTAAAATATTGAGTGGACCTGTGTTATATACATTCTTACAAAGAGCCTAATAGATACAATATCAGTTTAATAATTTTTTGAGCTAAAATTATATGTGTAAATAACACACCATAGAATGTTTTATTATGTTTCACTTTATTTTTTTTTAAGCTTATTTGCTATATTTTCTTTTAAAATATAAACGTAAAAATGGAACAATCATTTCAATATGAGTTTTGTTAATAGTAACCATCAATATATGCTTATTTACAATGGTATATGTACAATAGCGCACATACTAATACATTAGGTACAATGAAAGAATAATTAACCAAAAGTATTTTGAACAATACAAGTAAAAACATATGTAACATGGATATAGTAAATTACAATTTGAACTGAACTTAGAGGTAAATTGAAGACATTTGCTGGAAAAAATGATCTTAATTTAATGGACTGCAGGGCATTAAAAAAATTATAAACACTATTATTTCTGTGGTCATTTCCATCAAAGTATATAATTTAGGCTTTTTTAATGTGCAAAAGTATTAAATTTATAGATTTCCTTTTTTTTTTAATGATTCTTACATATTTGAATTATAGAATCCATCTTCATGAAAAAAATTATAAACAAATATTTGTTTATAAATTTACAAGATGCATTATCTTAATGAAAAATATTACACAGTAGTTTTCTACCCTTTTGACATGTCTTATAATTATTTTCATTTAATTTGCTTAATTAAACACTGATATATTAAAAAATTACAATTTTCATAACAAAAATTTTATAATTGTATTACTTACTCCGTCATAGTTTCTCTTATCATCTATTAATTCATTATAGAATCGCACTTTGTGTTATATTCATTCAACTTTCTTATTAATTTCTCTTTGGAGCCAATAAGCGTCTAGCATCATTGTCTTCAAGACTCAGCTAAGCTCCATTATTATAAAATAATTTATTAAACGTTTAACGGTTTCAATTAATAAATATTATTTGATATACAATTTCACTACTAGATTTACAAAGAGCAGAATATAGATATATTTAGTGTCCCTGTAAAAAAGTTCAGGTTGATTATCTTACTTGAAATTTATTCTTTAAATATAAAAGGGCAATAATTATAATATTTATATAAAAATGCATTCAGAGTGAAAATTAATGAACAAGCCCCCTTATATTTAAATTTAATAAATTTGTAATTTAATGATACACATGATATGTTGGAATATTTATTAACATGCCCTTTAGAAATTTCCTCCCTTTTTATGTAAATAATGATAAAATGACTAAAGACTGATAATGATGAAATGATTGAAATTGCTCAGGAAACATGTTCTAGCATGCATACAATGTTCATGATCTATTTAATTGAACAATATGTAAGATAATCTTCCTGATAACTCAATCTAGGACAATCTACTTAATATTTGGTCAAATCACTATCACTCCTTATAGATAGTAACAAGTGACTTTGACATCATTATTTATATAAATCATTGCTATTACTGTATACTTTTTCAACCCACTTCTACTAAGTTTCAAGTAGCAAACTTTTATGAGAATTATAGCTATGTCAAATACGCCTGGTTTCCATCAAATGTTTGTAAATTTTTCCATATAAGACTGCAATTTATTGTATCAAAGACATTTTGTTATAATATATTTTCATTTTTACTAGCAATTACATTTTATTCGCAAGTTCAATATATTGTCACTCTTTGGTAGGAGTTACACATTGAATAAAAATCATCGAAGTGGGTTAAAAATACATACAATCGTCTTCACGCTAATCTCTAATAGCATTAGGCACTGTCAACCCCTCATCAAAATGTTTTACGAAATGTAATTGTTGGTTGAGTTAGAAACATTAATTCTTTACTATAGTTTTCATATTTAACCAATACCGCGTGTATTGAATTTGAAAAAAAAAAAAAGATTCATTATGATTAAATACGTTCTATTTCCAAAGTATTTTAATTTAACGAATTACATGATAAAATATAGTATGCATTTTCTACTTACAAAATGTAAATTTGTACAATATCTTTTTTTTGAACCGAAGATATGTATTAAATTTTTAGATACGCGTATAAGTGTCTTTTCGTTTGTTTATAGAAATTAAACTTGAATTTACTTTCACGATATTAACAATATACACAACAAAATTTACAGAGCATATTATATGTTAATGAACTTGTTTTTCCATTTATATCCTAGATCACAATACTGTACGCTAAAACTTTCATGAAAAAAGGGAAAATGCAGTCACAGAAAGTATATAATTATTTCTTTTTTAATTTATTAAGAATCTCGATTGTGCAGCTGGTAGAATTATGCTATTCGATTAATATTGTACTTCTTTCAGGGCGCTATATTTACATCAATTTATTTAAAAAGCAGAGAAATTTAGAAATTCAATGATTAACAAAAATGAAAAGAATCTCGAATGCCTGCATTCGAGACCCTTAATTCATAGATTTTATTTTTGAAACAAAAATCACATGATGGGATGTTAAAATTGACACGTTATTATTTGGATTAATATATAATGCAATGATTCTTTAGTAATACGTTCGTATTATATAGACATATTGGATAATTAAATGAAAAACTTTAAAGTATAAAATTTGGAACATTTAATAAACAAATACAATTTTTCTATGTTGAAAAATATGAATTATGAAAACTCATACGTTATTAATATTACTAAATTACGGCTGAGAAGACATTATTGTCACAATGTACATTTTCTGATCTTTCACAGAGAACGAAACATATTTCTACCAACTGTACAGTCATAAAGTGAAAAACAAGTGAAAAAAGGAGAATGAAAACCGTATCTCCTTGGTTGACGTACAGAATGCTATTTTGTTTCATTAGATTTAACAATTATTATCACTTCACGCGCCTTGGCAACATACATCCTTAAACGCTAACACGCTTATCACTTTACAGATGTACGACTTGCTTTTATTCGGATACCTTGTATCCCATCTATACTTTCCGCATTGTTCACTGAATTCTTATCGTTTTATTATGGAAATAATGCCCTGATTATGCAACGAATTCTTAACTTATTTTTGTGGCACCATTGTGATTCACCTTGTGATTTACAGTCCAGTTATCCTCTTGTACAGTTTTCAAATATTCTTCTAGCAACGATGCCAAATTACGTCTTTTAAATCGCAACGATTCCTTCACGATATCTCGCAAAAATGCAAGTCGTATATCTAGCGTCCCTTGAATTTGGTGTAAATGTGAAAATAGTGTTGCATAATCTGAAAGAAAATTATAAAACATTATTCACATTGATCCATCTTATAATGATCTCTCGTTTATAGACTATAGATACGCATTAAAAACTCATTAAAAAGTAATACAAAAATCTGTTTCAACTTACTTGTACCTCTTCTCCGTACTTCTTTATACACAAGTTCCCGAACGGACAAGTTATGTCTTCTAATATCTTCCAATTCTTTTTTCGTCAAAATCTTCTCTTTCTCTACCTTGGGTTCACGTTTCTCTTCAACGTGATTCGACAATCGTTCGTCAACCGAATTCTCAACTTTCACACTATTTTCGACACAATCGCTAGGAGGTAGTTTGTTACATTCGTTCTTAATATTCTCCGTTTTTTCCATCTTCACTTCGTTTTTGGGGATGTCAACATTATTAACTACTGGTGTTAAGGTTGGTGGAATATCCATATGATTGTTAGTATGTTCTATTGGAATTGGTTCGAAAACTGGTATCGTTGGCATTTCTGCAAGGCCATTGACTAACTTCTCTGGCGAATTCACAGACGGGGCGTTTGATACACTAGGTGTAGAGTTTATTGTGTTGGATGGGACTTGATTGGAGTCGGCAGTCGGAGTCACTTGATTTTTCGTATCATCAACCCATGGAATTGGC